TTTTTTCCCCCAATTGGCCTTGAAATTCTAATATGCTGCTTCAGGCTTTATACCTACAGATTTCAAGTGTACCAATAGACCTACCCTGTAGGAATTATGTAAACCTTATATAATTAATATTTGTGAGATGTATTAAGATCCTGGCACCGGAAAGAGCATTGAAATCCAAACCTATTCTATAACTTTCTTTTTTAATTAGCTGCCAGCTGGATTCTAGAAGGCTTCTAGTTCCAGCTCCCAGGCAAGAACATTGCTACCATTTAAAATACGTACACTGTTTTTTTTTTTTTTAAAGGAAAAGTCACAAGAGGCTAAGGTAATGTAGCTTCAGGAAGCTTACAGAAATCCCAGATGTTCAGAAACACGTAACAATGCACAGTTAATGGAAATGCAATCAGAGGGGTGCCTGGGTGGCTCAGTTGGTTAAGTGTCTGACTCTTGATTTTGGATCAGGTCATGATCTCGGGGTCCTGGGATTGAGCCCGGGCTCGGACTCCAGCTCCGCACTCAGCAGGGATTCTGCTTCAAGATTCTCTCCCTCTCTTTCTGCCCCTCCCCCCTCAACTCCAGCGTGCACGCATGCTCTTTCTAAAATAAATAAATAAATCTTAAAAAAAAAGGAAATGCAATCAGATTAAAAATGTTTCATTGGAGAGCTGCTTCTGAACCATATTCCTTGCAGTTGCTATCCTAGAGACAGCTGTTCTGAAATCTCCCTGTCTTCCCATGAACAGACTGAAATGGAGCAGGGCAACTAAAGTTAGGTGAGGTGGGGTTCAAGGTAAAGCGAGTCCTATATCAAACCCATTGTAGAGATGAACCGCAGATGAAAGGCCAAATGTAGGGTTTCTAGATAAAATATGGGATGCCCAGTTAAATTTGGATTCAAGATAAACCATGAAGAATTACTTAGTTTAAGTGTGTCCCAACTATTGTGTGGGACATGTTTAGAATTCACTGTTTATTTGAAATTCAATTTGGACTGGGCAATCTGTATTTTTATTTGCTAAATCTGGCAACACTAGCCAAAGGAAAATTAAAACAGCTTATTTTCAATTGATATTATACTGCTCTGCACCAATGGAAAACACAGATGAAAAGAATTATTTAATTGTCTATTTTGTTGTAATGATTTCTATTACTTAAAAGTGGCAAAGGTCTCAAAGTTTATAAATGACATTAAATCAGGTAAAAGACAGGTCAAAGAAATGGGCTATGCTGGTGTAAGGATGACGAACGTTTAAAGATCCACACATCGGAAAATCTGCTGTTACATGAATTCTGTCATTTAAATAATTTAAGCTGTGACTAAAAGCAAAGTAATGCCGCACACAAATCAGTCTTATTTTATAGTCACCTTAACTGGGCGATAACCCGTGAGCCCCGCATTTCCAAGTAAAAAGCCAGCATTGCCAAAGGCACACACTTACTACTTGCCTACCTCTTTTGAGAACTGCCACTGTCTTCCAATGAAACGTTAATTTTTTTTCCAAACAACTGTTTCAGTATCTTATTAGCAAAACAAATATTTGATTTCTAAACTAACATGTCCAGATTAAGTGACAGATACTTCCAAAAGGAAGCAAATTATTATAAATGCTATGGCAGGGTTCCATTCATTTGGATAGGTAAGACAGCCAATCACTTTTGAAAATATCTCTAAAATGTCCCTCTCCATTGTTTCCACCTCCCCACCTCCCCACTCCCACAGGGAAAATTATTGCTTAAGAAAGTCTGGTCAAACAGGGTAAATACTTGGCCAATATTTTCCTTATAAAAACACACGCACAATTAGACCTGGCCCAAATGCTCAAGGTACATTAGAGATCTGGCCATTACTGATGCTTCCGGGCTTTCAAGAGAGCCCTTCTGGATCATTCAGGTACCAGGAGCTGCCTTTTCCTAAGTTCTTTGATCGGAATCATCTAAAATTTGTGGCTCTGGAACCTGACTTAAAGGTTTAGCTGAGTTGGGCTTCTGAAAAACACCAGTTTCCAAAAGACTTTGCGGAAGAAATAAAGTCCTTCGTGAGACTCTACTTCTATTCGTTCCAGAGCATTCCTTTGGACTGTTGTGCTAAATCTGAGCTGGCACATTATTAATCTTTTCAAATTAGGCATTTAGTAGGCTCAGCTGAATATTTTCTTAATTTGCACATTAAGGTTTGCCAAAACAGCTGGCCCTGTGCTGGAATATCAGTTGAGATCTTTGATTTACATAGTCTAAGCACAAACGTAGAAGCTCTGCTTATGAGAGGATGACCTGATGGGTACCAAACACTAGTAAACGTTATTAATAAGATTAATAGAAACAACAGTGGCTAACACTTACTGAGTGCTTCCTATGTCCCAGGCGCTGTGACATTATTTAGTCATTTAAAACTTTCAATAAACTTATGAGGTTTTATTTCCCCGATTTTGTGGATGAGAAAACTGAGAATGGTTAAGTTACTTGCCCTAGATTACACACTTAGTAAGTAGTAAAATTTAGGTTTGTACCTAGGCTATCTAACTGCAGAACCTACGGGCTTACCACTTTGAAACACTGCCTCAGTATACGTGTCAGATAACAATGAAGAGCTTCCACCTGCTCAGGTCAGATTTCATGGGAAGGAGGTGTCACTTCTTGGACTGTGATACAGACTTCAGAGGAATGGGAGGTGACCAGGCTAAAGGAATGGGAGTAACCCTTTACCCCCACTCCCAAACAACCACAGGCAACCTTGCTGTTCTCATAAATGTGTGGGCAATTTTGGTTTATTTTTAATATGCTTATGATATGATTCATGAAAAGGCTTTAATATGCTTATGATAAGGTATTGACATATATCAGGATCTGTAGTGACAACAGAGCTGTACATGTATAGTGTGGGGTCTCCCTTCAATGATAAGGACAGTCTAGATGTTAGTCACCCAGAGAAGAGCGATCTGACAGGCCCAGAACACAGACAGGATCTCTAGCTGGGTGGCGGACTGGAGTCTAGCTCTCTTGGGTTTGATCACCCACGGTCCAGACATCGGCCTAGGTAATGGGGTGGGATGTGATGGTCTCTCTGCGGGGGGAGCAGGGACAGACAGGGCAGAATCCAGGGCAGGAAAGTAGGATCATGGGGTTTGTGCCTCTTTTTACCTACGCTTCTTTCCCTTTTGTCCTCCTTGAGTGTTGGAAAAGGCCTTTTGAGAGTTCCAGTATATCTCCGATGTCTCAGTGAGGGAGTTTCTAAATAAATGGGGACTCAGAACACCAGAGGGGGGTAATGATGGTGGTGGGAAAAAAGAAGAGAATCCAGAGGGGAGAGAGAGAGAGATGAAGATGGAAGCTTCCTTCGGCCTGCCATCCTCCCTCCCTCATCAGTTCTGTAGCCAAAACTTGGGGGTGCTGCCTTGTAATTTAATTTGGAGGCAGTATTCCTATGCGCCTTGTACATAGAGATGTTTGAGAATGGTCTGTAAACCAGCCATGATAGTTCATACCACAATCAACGTTGAAAGAACTGAAGACAGTCCAAGCTTTCTCTCTTCCTTCTTTTTAAAATACAAGTGAATAAATGTAGAGATCATTGTTGTTGACAATGACCACATATTTGCAAGTATCCATCATACAGGCAGGAAAAAATGCTATGTATATATTGAGTGGATTTATTAAGCTAAAAAAAGGTCCCCTGCCAAACCCCATTCCTGACTCAAGAAATTATCACCTTAAGAGTTTTACTGGAGGAGTAAAAAAGAAGAAGGAAGAGTAGGTGGGGTGGGGGGGAGTGGAGGAGGATGAGAAGGAAGAGAAGGAGAACAGAAAAGCAGCAACTGCTGGGTGAAACCAACCGGAGGTTTACCAAGGGAGCTGGGGGATGAGCCACAGAAACCCGCAGGCCACTTTCATTGCAGGAACCCTCACCCCTCTCTCCTTTACCAACACAGCAATTTTTTTCCCTAGAAAAATGATATTTTGGTTTCTGAAAACACCCTACTTTGGGGATGCAGAGTCTCCTGAGGTATTTATGCCAATTTTTATATTATTTTCCTCACAATTTATTGCAGTAGCTCTAACAACACAGGGATCCCTAAAGAGGGATGGTTGAAGCTTCATCGCTCTGTTTTTAAGACTTACACAGAAACATGAACTATGTCTTCTGGGGTCGGGAGAGCCCCAGAACTGGGAGACTGTGATCGTCTTGGTTCTGACCACCCACCCCCCACGTGTGCATGGATGAGGCTGCTCAGTGGGCCCACCAGCCCCCTCACTCCAGCGATGGACAAGGGCAATATTCTCACCCCCAGAACAGCTGGACTAAGCCCTAAAACTGACCAAGAAAAAAAATTGTTGAGCTCCTTAGGAAAAAAAAACTGCTACCTACACTGCCTGGGAGGGTTAATCCGGTATTGCCAGCTGCCAGAGCTGTCGATAAAAATTAAAAAGACAAGCCACAAGATGAAATTAGCCAACAAACCCACCCACTGGCTCTGCAGGCTCACTCAAGGTTTTCTGAGCCTTGGGCTTCATGGAAAGATTTCTAGTGAGGAGGAAAGTAAAGGCACCTTCCATGTCGTGTGGTAAACATCTCTTGCTTGGAGGGGTACTGGAACTCCCTCACATGGCAATCCCGTGGTTTGGGATGCGGCTGTTACACCTGCTGGGATCCTGGCGCTCGGCTGCGGAGCCAAAGCCGCCAGAGTGTTCGGGAACCGTCTGAGGACGCGACTGAGAACAGTGCGGATACCAAAACGAAAAGGGGGTTTTCCTCAGGCTTTCAGCAAGTAAAGGAAGAAAACAAAAGTGAAACAAAACACGCTATAATCTTAAGTTGGGAAACTTTTCCTCAAAATTGCATTATCCTTTGTGAGCGGCCAGGAAACCCCTAGCTTCTTTTCAAGGGATTGTAACGACCTGTGTCCACAAAACAGGAACCCAAGCAATTCAGGAGGAAAAAAGTCACGGACTAGAAGCATGAGTCAAATCGGCTTGTGCTATGTGGCTTTGGAACATTCTCATCGAAAACATACCAGTGTCCGCGCCCTCGGCTGCTCGTTCCACTGGTGCCTTATCCATGGTCGGTTGTCCCTTGTAGGGCTGCATTTTCTGGAAAAACTGGGTGCCCAACACCAGACTGAAAGCGTTGTTTGAACGTCTCCCGGCCCCCACGAAGCCGAGCTCATTCCTCCTGCTCCTCGCTCCGCAGCCCCTGCCAGAGACGCCGCCGTTGGTCCCAGACCAGCGAGGCGCGCGCGCGGAAGCCGTCCAGAATTGGTGTCGGGGGCGGGGGCTAGTTCTAGCCAACTTGACAGTTTCTGCCACTGCACACATTTTTGGGAGGCTCCGGGCCACAGGGTAGAACTGCAAACCCAAGCGGTGATCGCGAGCTCGAGCCGGGTTCAGGCAGCTGCCGGTGGGGCTGTTAGTGCCGCATCATCCCCAGCGCAACCACGGAGGGACGCAGGAGACCCGAGACCCGGGACCGCCAAGTCCCGGGCGCGCGCGCAGCCACTGCTTAGAGCCTTCCAGATTGCGATTCTCCCCGCCTCTCCCGGCCCTCCCGGGGTCCAACCGCCTCAAGAAGTCTGCTGCCCGACTCTGGCAGGGTGTGCTCAGAGACCCGAGAAGCCTCGAGTCGCACGCCAGTGTCGCCCACCCGGGGTTCGAACGCGTCGCGCAGCCACCTGTTCCACAAAGCCCGGAGTTTGTGTGGGCGCGGGCTGCGGCAGGAAGGACCCCGTCATCCCCCCGGTCCCGCACGGCTCAGGATCTCGACAGGCTTACACCACCCCAAATCCAAGTGCGCACATACCTTCACGCAACTCCGGAGGCTCCCCCCACTCCGGCCACCGGCGCGCGGTGACTTACTTCCCGGTGTCCCCGCTTCAGCCCCAGCCCCAGCCCCAGCGCTGGCCACCGGGGCCCAGAGCGCGCCCGGCCCCTCCGGGAGGACGGCGCCCCCAAATACCTGCCGTGAAGATGCAGAGAGCGAAGAGAGTCTTGCAGACCATGGTACCCTGGTGTGCGGTGCCGAGCTTCGGGACTGACCGAGCGCTCGGAGCGCGGACGGCTCCTCCTCTGCCGGGCTGGTGGCCGTGGGAGCCGGGAGGTGAGGGCGGCTCTGCGCGCTCGGCCCGCGCGGCTCCGGCTGCTCCGGCGGCGGGCGGAGAAGCGAGGCAAACGCGGCGCGGCTCCGTCAGCTGCGTGTCGTCCGGCGCC